CTGAGGTTTGCTACTCTAGGTGGGAGTTGTTCTATAAATCATTATGATTATGTGTTCTATGATTAAATTCTATGATGAAATTACTGTCAGATGCGCTGAGAGGTGCCCGGAGGTGTCAGGTTTACAGAGAACCCTCTTGATTGTCCATGTGTAGGTTTTCTAGTCGAGTTTGTTGAAGTAATGCAAGACCGCCCGGCGGTGTTGGTGGAAAACCCCCCATGCACTTTGTATCTCTGCTGACCGTGGTGATATTAGTTTGGCTTGTTATCGAAAACTGTTCTCCTCTTCTTTATTATGCTCATGAGGAGATGTGCTGCGAGGTGACAATTGGAACTTCAAGGGCTAAAGTTCTCTATTTTCTTTTGATCACGGGACTCATTGCGAGAGTAGGGAGGCTGTGACACAGATTTTCTATCATTGTTTTGCAAGTATCATGTTGCTCCAAGTAGTGGCACAAAAAGTTCAGGCAGAAGAGTGTGACCCAAGGTACATGTTTCAAACGGAAAATTTATTTTTCCTTTCCTGCTGCCCATTTTCCCGGGATTTTGTCTTTGCATTCCTGAGCTGAGAAGTCGTGTAAAGTACACTGGTCCTTTTTGATGTTCTTTCAAAATTTGCATCAACAGCCACATCATTTCAAGAGCCCTGGAAATCTTCACTTCTGTAATGAACAAACTAACAAATAACCCCCCAAATCAAAGAATCACCTTTCCCCACCGAGTCTCCAATAACATTCTCCTACACAGCCAGTGTCATGTGTTACACTGGCGTGCTTGCCAACATTTTGTCTGTGTCTTTTTTATGGTTTGTCATTGCTGGGAAGAAGAGTGCTGAGCCTTGAGGCAGCTAAGGGAACTGTGACCTCAGACACTGAGTAGGGCCTGGCCATTTCCTGATGTGAAGGGTGAGCTTGCACAGTGGGAACACTTGTTTTGGGGGAAACTGGAAATACTTGGGGAAACCATGGGTTATGCTGTAAGAGAAGAAACGAGATTATACATTTGTGTTGAGAACATGTCTCAGAGTGGGAAGTGGAGGATGCCTAGAGGAAAGGGTGAGGCAGGAGTGGAACAGAGTATTCTTGCTGAGGATCTTTTTCCAGCCTAAGGGTGTGGAGTGGGAGACCTTCCTGATCATGAGAGAGTGTGTGAAAATGGAAATGTCCACCATGTCCTTTGGGATTATGAACCCCTTCCACCAGAGACAGTCCCTTGTGCTGCTGCCTGCCTGATGTAGGCTGTGTGTTGGTAAGAGCTGGTGAGATGCAGTGTTGAATGTTGTCTGATGGACTGCTTGTTTCAAAAAGGTCTTGTGGGAAGAGAGTGCTTCAACACTTCTCCAGGCACTGGTGGACAGTCTTGAACAGTTTGAGTGTTGTTTCTCATTGAAAATTGACCTCCTCCTCTTCGGTTCTGCTCACTAAAATTGTTATGCAGGGTGAAAATTGTGACTTCAGGGTTTTGTCTGGCTGTGGAACTGTAAGCTGTCCAATTTGGTTCCACCACCAGAGTCATTATGAAACTTGGGAAGATGTGGTGAACCTTTCTTATGATTTCTTCCTGAGTATCATGTTGCTTTCCATAGCATTGTGATGTGTTCAGACAGAGGAGTGTTCTCCAAAGTGAAGTGCTAAGAAGTGAAATTTTCTTCTCCTGCTCCCTTTGTTCCCTGGCTTGTGGATGTACTTCACCAGCCAGAGAAGCAGCATGAGACATGCTTGAGTCTTTTGATGTTGTAGCTAAACTTATATCAACAACAGCATCATTTCAAAAGCCATGGAAATATTTTTTAAAAAAAGAAAACAAAGAATCCAGAGAATCACCTCTTCCAACAAAACCCAAGCCAGTTTCTCCTGCGTAGTTGCTACAATCTGGTATGCTGTTGTGCATTTTGGTTCTTATCCCAGAGCATGTAATGAGATGGTGGGTGAAATCTTTGTGCACTGGATTTCCCTGCTTGTGCAGTTGAATGTGGTAGAGGTGGTGGGTCCTGTTGTCACACATGGCTCATTCTGATATGTGCGGGTAAATGCCAAACCGTGCAGAGCATCCCAGCTCTGTTTCTTGGTGATATAATTTGCCTCAGTTGATCTTGTGAGAGCACTTGAGTTTTGGCATTTGATAAGGTTCTTTTGAAGAACAAAATCCACGGGGTCTACTCCCCATCCTGTTCTGATTCCTGTCAGAGTTCTAATCCCAGAATCTCTAAGAACTGTCTTGTGCAGCTCTGTGCTATTTCCATGTGAGATTGCTGAAAAAGAGCAAAGCATCTGTGGTGAAGAACACGTAGGTGGGAAGACACAGCCCAATGCTGTGAGGCATTTACATACTTTGTGTTTCCTTTGTGGTGACCATGAGCGAAGATGAAGAGTTGCTAAGCCTGAATCATAGGCAAAGTGGGCTTTACAGATGGGGCATGTTGCTGGAATTGAGCAATGTTTGCTATTTTGTCAGTGATCCTATGAATGGCTCCAAGTAGGGCCTGGGCCTGTGTCATGGAGAGGGTGAGTTTGAGTGAGGAGGAGTGTTGCCTGAGGGGAATGGAGATGCTGTGTAGGACACAGTCTGTGTTATAGGGGAGGAACTGGAGAATGTCTGCTGAGATGTGGCAGTCTCATTTGCCATGGGACAGGATAGAGGATGCCCGCAGAAAACCTTGAGAAAAGGCCTGGCACACAAGGCTGCTCTCCTGGGATCCTCTCCGGAGCTCCAGTACCTCTGCATCTCCTTGTGCTCAGTTGTTTTCTGAGGTGTTACTGCTTGTACAGTTACTTGCCATATGGCAGGCATATGCCTTGAATTGCTTTTCTTTGTTGTGGAATGTTGTTGGTCAAACAAAAGCTTTTGGAAACTTGTATCATTGTACCAGCTTTCTCAGAATGTTGCCTGAGTCATTACTGTAGTCTTGGTGTTGCTAAGGAAGGGAAGAAGTTGTCTCTGTATTCAAGATATTGTCAAACCTGGCATTTCAATAAAGTGGGATGGGTTCCTTTGTTTTCTTCTCCTCCTTCTCCTCCTCCCTCTTCTCTGAGTGAGAACATTGACCCTTTTTTTCTTCTCTCACACTGGCAATGTGTCGATAACAGTGGATGAGATGCAGTCAGTGGAATACTGGCAGCTGTCAGGTGGCAGGTGTTTGAACAGTAATCCATCAGTCTCAGGGAAGGTTTTCTACTCTCCTGAGCTGAGTTTGCTGTTGAGAGAATGTCGCAGATGTTCGGGTGTCCGTCCTGCTTCCCCAGTGATAAAAGTGCAAAAGGGAGCATTACACACTCTCCTGTAATTTCCAAGCTTTGGTGAATGTATTTTTTTTTCTGTCCAGCACCCCCTAAAGTTACTCATATTCTTAAGGGAAAACGTCCCCTAAACCCGATTTTCCTGTTCTGAAAATGTTTCTTTTTCTGAAGACTACACCACTGATGTGACAGGTAAGTAAGTCACTTGTACCTGTAGAGGCTGTGTGTGAGAGACAGGTGTACCTTGGTTCCTGTTCAGCTGTGGTATCTTCATGTTGCATTGGCCGAATGCTGCCTGGGTTGAAATGCCTGTAGGTTTGGAGCACCACTTACCAGCTCCCATTCCCTTCCTGCTGTTGCCTGGCACAGGGTGAGCAGGTGGAAGCACAGACACATGGAGAAGTGACCCTCATGGATTTGTTGGAGTAGCTGTGTCATGCATGCAGCAGTTGTTCTCAGTGGCAATGCCGTGGTGTTACCTTGGTGGCATTTCGTTGGCTGTGCAGGTAGAACACGAGTTATGAAGAACAGCTCTAACTCTTCATCGAGGTATTTGAGGAGGTCTGAGGAGCTGTGGTTGCCCAGTGCTTTTTGCAGCATTCTTGAAGGATTGGTGTGCTGGGCTGTGATAGGTTCGATTTCCCAAATGAGAACTTCTCCGGGGTTGTTTGTAAACTTTGATGCATTTTTTTTTTTAATTAGTTGTCCCTTTAGCTGGGGTTTGGGCTTCTGTTCCAGTGGGTAAAATGTAGAAGGGGAAAATAATAATAATAATAATAATAATAATAATAATAATAATAATAATAATAATGATAATAATAATGATAATATAATAATAATAAAAGATGAAATTGAGGAATTGTGGCAAAGAAGAGGAATGAGAACCGTTTCAGAAAGGCACTTACGTCCTTCATTGTGAGCATGATGTGGACATTTGAAAGTATTTTGGTACAGGAAGAAAACAACAATAGAGAGACAAAGATGGAAATAGAAAAAGAGGTGAAGAGAAAACCAGCAGTGACTCTAAGAGCAAGAAAGAGAAGACATAGGGAAGGTGAACAAAGAAAGAAAGAAAAGGCAAGAGAGAAAGAAAATAGCATAAGGAAAAGAAAGAAATTTAAATGGAAAGAAAAAAAATCCATGCAAGTCCAAAGCAAGCCAGAGAGAAAAAAATAATGGAAGAATGAAAGAACAGAAGAGACTATAAACGACATGAGCAGCACACACCGAGATGGTCTTTAGCCTCTGAGCAGAGTCGGTCCCTTACAGCTTCCCCGCCCCAGTAAAAGTACCTCGCTCTGGAGCAGATGTCCCGACAGCAGCGGTGATGGCTCCGACTTTGATGGTCCCAGAAGCGGAGGCGAAGGGCGAGCTGCCCGGGGGGGGAAGAAGAGAGAAGGATGGAAAGAGAAGAGAAATCAAGGCACGGCACGGGAAGGATGAAGACGACAAAAAAAAAAAAAAGGAAAAGAATAGAGACTGAGAAGCAGAAAAGAGCAGAGTAACAAGAGGACAAAGCAGGAAAGAGAACGGAATCACTCGTCCTCCCTCCCTTTCAATACGGGAAATGGTAGGAGAAAAACAAATATAATAGAAGAAAATCAGATGAGAAAGAGGAAGAAGGAAAGAAACGCATATTTACATGGAAACACCAGGCAATAAGGAAAAAGAAGGTAAAGACAGGGGAGGAGGGGAGGGAAGAGACGGCGGTGGAGATGAGTCTGGTGGTGCAGAGGCGCGGGTGCCGTGTGGGATCGTGTGAGGCGGCGGAGCAGCGCACGGTGTCGCTGCAGGCTCAGGAACGGCGTGTGGGCGGCTCCGCCCCGGTGCGGCGGAGAGCCCGGCTGTGAGCGCGGGGGGGCGGCTGGGGCCGGGCAGCGGAGCCGGGGCGTGCGGGCGGCGGCGGGAGCCGTGCGGGGCCCGTGCGGCTGGGGCCGG